GGAGAAAGTACCATAAACACTTTCAATAACTTTTATTTTTCCCCCTAATAGATCTGTACAATCAACAAATCAAACTTAAGCTGAGCCTAGCAAAAATCGATCTGTACACGTTAAATGCTTTTGGGCACAAGAGCTTAACACCCATTTAAATAATCAAATTATGACTTGTCTAACTATGCAAACACTTAAAAATCAGTCCCACAGCTTGAGAACATTGAGTGACTCAGAAAGAGGGGAGGCAGGATGAACCAGAACAATCCAAACAGAAAAAAAAGATGTTCCCTTTATATGTCTCTCTCCAGTGTTATAGAAAAGTACAGTCAAATATCTTATTTACAGAGAAATTAACAAAATTCTAGTTTGATCAAACAGATTTTTTTAAGGTGTGGTGAGGGTCTCTGGGTTGTTGTCGGGGGGGGGGGTACAAGTATGTCATATTTAATCTAGATTAAAAAAAGAAGGGACAGACAGTTCATGTAAAACAGAGTAAGGATGCACACAAGCCAACGACAGACAATATGGCTACTGCTCCGATTCCAGCACCAACGCGTGGACCACAACTCAAACAAGTCTTGTATGTAATTCATTGTCACAATGCCCAACATCCTAACCATCTGGATTTGATACCCATTTCCTCCATCAGCAACCCTAAAACATGTTGATTCAGTAACCAAACACCAAATTAACCATTCCTGAGATACATTATTGAAGTTATGTATTATTGAGTTTTTAAAGTGTTATGCTGACAGCTGTTATGCAGTTAACTTTCCTAGTTCGTAGTTGTGTCAAACACGTAAAGCCCAACCTTTCCCCCATTATGTCCTTCAATTTGTCAAAATAAAGCTGCCTTATTGCTAGAGTAACAGTGATTTCATTCCCATTGAAGACTCAATAAAAAATCTGAAACACATGGAGTTCATGTTATTTTGAATTACAATCCTGTACAGGGTTCATTCAGCCCCATCAGTGCAAACACAGGGAAGGTATGACACTGGATAACATTATGAATCAACATATGCAAAAAAAATAAAATCTATACTACAGTGATGAGACACAATCATTTGCACATTGAACTGAAAGTCGAAGGTAAAAATGCTGTTGCAGCATGTTGTAGTACGGTGGTTCTCCCAGCTCAACACAGCCCTGTTCTTCAGATGTGGTTTAACTGATCCAAAGGGGTGTTTCATCAGCAAGATTATCAGGTAATAACAGGATTACTTAAATACAGTTTAATAGACTAGGTTTAAATAATAAAAGTTATCATGGAAACTTAGTCCTTCGGTCTAGTCATTCTCAGGCTTACTTAGCTTCCCTTAAGTTCCTATATCAGTTTTCTCTTTACATGTCTTTGTTCTCACGTTTCAATTTATCTGGCTTGGAGTTGGCTTTATGACAGTTTAATCCAGGTTTGTTCACTAAAGCCATGCAGTAGCCTGAAACGATGCTCAGGCTAAACTGGTGTTATTGTGGAATAACGACACATTACGGGGGTGAGAACCAGTGAGAACACCATGAGGAATCTTTATCACAAAAATGTTGCCATCTGGGGCTTGTATCACAAAGTGAGATTGGGGGTTAGCTGGCTACCTTTTGCCTTGCCTTGATCTCGTTCCTGTATCCCAAAGCTAGCTCACTTTTAACCAAGGTTGATTACCATGGCAACAGCAACAAATACTAGAACAGTAGAATCACTTTGTGGTTCCAGGTGTCCACTCTGTTAGAACTATTATAAACCCAAAGGAGATACTTCACTACACTAAATACCTTATAATGAACAGTAATTATATTGCCATTCTTTATAGTATCAATGTCTTTACACTGCTTTTTGAAGTCTGTTGTTTCTTGTTGGAAAAATAAATCCACACAGTTAAAGCTACAGTAGGTAACATTTATTAAAATAATTCACAAGTCAAATTTGCTATAATTTTCATTATATCCTGACAGTAATACATGACAGATTGTTGAGCCTCATTCCCAGGGGGTCAATTATCTTTCTCTGCTCTGATTGGTTGTTTTCGTTCAGGCCCGGTGGAGTCTCGCAAATGCCATTAGGACTAGGTAGAGCCAGAGGAACCCGATTTTTTCACAGATTTTCTGTCTGTACTATGGTCAGGATATAGTCAAAGTTTCAACAAAAAAGCTTTTTTTTATTTTATTTTATAAAGTTACCTACTGCAGCTTTTATTCACTCCCACTGAATAATAAATGCAACATTTTGGTCAGAACCTCACGAGGTGTCAAATTATGTTCAACTTGGAACAAAGTACTTGAGATACAAGACAAACCCAATTAAAAACAATTCTTACACCTATTTATATCAATTACTGTACTTTCGTATTTTTGAAATTGTGTGTTAATATAATATACATTTCCAACCTCCTAACGCTTCATCTTGTGTCAGATTAAGTACTGCACTCATGGTTTAGATGTTTGTAATTACCAACTCTGCCTCTTTCACATGAACACAGCCAGAATGGAAGACTCAGAATTAACAGAGCCAGTAGATGACCAGCTGTGTGATACCGTGTTAGGCATAGTGAAGACAGGGATCCCCAATGAGAGCCAGACTAAGTACTTGCTTCATGATACAGCCCCCTGAAACCAGAATTATATCAACATTTCTCAGATCTGGAGTTGCTATTACAATAGATGCAAATAAAGTAAAAAAGTGTAGAAAGTTAACTCCACATATGAAGAACAAGGCTGTGCTCTGTAATGCATCACAATTTAACACACAGGGCAACAGGTGATGGACCACCGAGACTTCAGTTTATCACGAATGTCAACACAGTGAGGAGCACATACAGAGGCGCTCCTGGGCTGGTTTACCATGCACACTAATGACACTAACTCAATTCAGATCAACAGTTAACATTAGGTGAAGAGCAGCACTGCAATCTAAATCTTTTGTAGTGTTTCCTTCTCATGTCAGTTTGTAGTGGCTCCCTCATGGCTTCAAGTCCTCACAGAGCTTCAGGATAACATCAGCAACCCATATTGCCCTTACACAGTCCACAGCACATGAATCACTGACAGGGTATTAAAGACAGCACACAGCTCAGAACATACAGATGTCTTTGGAGTTATTAAACCAGAGGACACCCATGAGACACATATAGGTAATGTTACACCAGTGAAGACCTCTAGCAGCTTTGTTTTCCTTCAGTTTTAGATGTTTAACCATTTGTTAAGTATTTTATAAGATTCAAAAATGCACTCTGATTCTGTTATGGCGCCCTTAAAAACATGGAGTTCCTGATCCTGTCCATTTTGTATTTATTTAAAAAAATTAATTAATCTTTCAGGACTTTGGGGACACTAAGGGCCCTTCCACACAAACCTTACTGGTTTGATCCGAACCAACATAAACAAACAGCCGAACGTGGGTCCGGATCAGAGTGAACCATGGTTCAGTTTGTTTCTAGTGTGAAAACATTTTTGGTAAAGTTGAAAGTTCGGACTTTTGGACCAATAACAGGAAGTTGAGGCAGGCTATCAGCAGAGTCAAAAATAGGAAAAACAATGCACCAAAACAAAATGAGCCACAGAAGTCAAAAAGAGTCTTGAGTATTGCGCTTGAAGGTAGTACTGCTGTTAGTAATGCACTTAGGGATGGGACGATCTACATTACTGCATATTGCGATACCCTCATAATACTCATTAGTATATCATGGTGACTTTGGATTATTGGGATAATTGTGCATTGGGATCTATCTAGCTTGCGAGCGTACAGTCTTGATTTCCAAATTTATTTTTGAATTGTCACAATTGGGAGTCCTGCTTGGCTTGCGTAACCCTAACAAAAAAGTGAAATCAGTTGTGTGGAAATACTATGGATTCCAAACTAAAGATCAACAGGGAGATGGGGGGCCTATCTGTGAAGCCAAACATATATACATACGTATGTATGTATATGTATATATAAAACAGGGATTCCAGTATTTTTTTTACATTTGTCAAAGCAAATAGGATAATTGTGACCTGAAATTTTCGTATTGTCCCATGCCTAAATGCAATAGTATTATAGTTGAAACTAAATTAATCTGTTCATTTATGTTTCTACATTCATTTAAACTGCAATAGAAGGCTAACTGCTGAATTGATAACACCCTGACATCAGATGCACTCTCGTCTACAAACCAATCAACTGCAGGTAAAGCAGCTCACGTTGGTGATGACGACATGATGTATGTCATGTATATTTCTTTAGTGTGCTTGCATAATTGCAATGTGAACTAAAACTAACTGGATCAAATGTATACAATATAACAAAAACGTGCACCTTGGTTCAGACTTTCAGGTGTGAAATGCCCTAAATTTGGGGATTTGGAGGTGCTATAACAAAATCAGAGCGGAACTTTTGTGTCAGTTTATAAAAACAGAACATATGTCAGTTGAGGATTATAAATAGTGCCTACATTATTGTCTGTATCTTCAGCCGTATGTTGCCAATGCCTCTTGGAAATACTGAGTTAAAGAAATCCGTCCGAACTTGGCAGCCCTTTGTCTGGTAGGACTCCTACCAGAGACTCCTGGCTTCTCAGTGCAAGTTGGTGGGGAGAAAAGTAGAGCAGAGAGGCAACTGCCTCGCTCCTCTGTCCTAGTTAGAGGGGCAGCAGCAGCAGCTCTGGATGGTGACCCCAGAGAAGTCCATGTCTCCTGAGGCCACGTGGCAGACCAACTGTGTGCTCGGTGTTCCACCAGGGACCACCCTCTGACCTGCTCTGCTTTTTGTTGTGCCATCACCCTTCAGTCTCTGTAGCCTGTCTGCCCCACACATCCTATCCAGACAAGAAATCTGCTAAATCAAAATGTTCAGGCCTACAGACGACTCAAACCCAAAACCGTTTGTCTACAGACTGATGGAGGTGTCTGTCCGTCCACACAGCGTGATGATCCACAGACAGTGAGCAAAGGCCCAGATCAAAAATGATGGTGGGATGGGGGAGGAAAAAAAATATTGGTTGAACCTTTATTTAGTTACAATATAGATCTTTTTTAAAAATTGTACAAGTACCTCTTCTTTTCCTTCTTGCAGTTCTTTTTGTGTACAAGAACAAGATGGGAAGGTTGTCTTATTCTGAAGCAGTGCTGTGTTCTTGTAGATTATGCCTGCATATAATTTTTTAATTTATTTTAAGGGGAAGGGGAGGGGAGGAGGGGACAACAACAAAAAAAAAAAGAAAAGAAAGGAAAAACAATCTTCTTAGATCCAGTGGTATATCTGGTGGGGCTAGGACCCCAGGGTCCCAGACTGCTGATCACAAGAGAATAAAGGGGGTGGGTGGGGGGTGGAGGTCAGAGCACTGAATTCAAAATCCATCCACCCAAACACCCAGGCCCCTCTCCACCAGCGTACGGTTCACTGATATCACCTGGAAGAGGAGGAGAAATATTCTCATTATTCAAAATGATGGCCTGATCAATACAAACAAAAATAAAACCCGTTTTCATCAGAACAACAATGGAGTCGTGTCACACAACATTCTACTGCTTTAAGTTTGAACTTTTTAAAATCAAACAAATTATTTGCTTATTTTCATTTGTTTCAATTGCTGTTACCAGGCTTTCTGCAGGTTTCAACAGGTTAAATACTTTTTAAGAGCATTATGAATGCAGTTTAAGACCTTTTTTTATTTCCATACTGGCAAAAAGGATATGAAGGAAAATCTGTATAAAATCAATTCTACAATAAAGCCTAATAGGTCTAGAGTCTATAGGGACAGACAACATGCTTCCATTAATATCCACAATATCTGTAACCGGAGATGACTTGATTAAAGGTCTGGGTTTTGGTTGCAGCGGGGCGAATGTGAATCATTGAGTGAATTGCATGCAACTGTGATGTAACAAAAATAAAGAAATACTACGTTTATACTTCAAGACCACAGTGTGTGGATCCAAAAAAAGTGTTTTTTTCAAGATGTTTTTGCTTTGGGTTTTGAATAGACTATTTCTTCTGGAAAATACAACTTTATACAAATAACATAAACTATATTCATCCAACACATTTTTAAGGCCTGTCATATTTAAAGCACTAGTGTGTAGGATTTAGTGGCATCTAGTGGTGTAGTGGCAGATCACATCACCCTCCCCTTCCAAGCACAAATGGCTGTGAAAGTCTCCATTTACAGCCAGTGTTGGGTTTGTCTGTTCTGGGTTACTGTAGAAACATGGTGGCCCTTAAACACATTTTAAGATCTTAAAATTTAGATTATTTGATTTTCGATTTTATTTAAGGCTTTTGGACACTGTGGATACCCTGTATTAAACCAACGTAATTGAAATTAAACACTTTGATTCAGTTGAAATGTGTATGTAAAATTTCCTGTTTCACATTAAAGGCCTGCCAGGAAAGGTAGAGATTGTCCTTTGAGGCATGTGAAACCTACCACCTGCTACCAACAACACCAAAATTAAAAAAAAAAACCAACATCAAACCAAAGGGAATTAGGGAGTAGGATTATTTCCTTATTTCTGACTAAATGACTTGAGTATGGCATTGCTCAGTTGTTGAACGGATGGAATAAGTACTGTGGACATTATTTTGACCAGAACACGAAAACAGGGAGGAAGTGACATTTGAATTCACAGCAGAAGCAGATAAGAATACAGACCTGTCTGTTATAAGCCTGTTTTTATATATATATATTTATATACATATATATATAAATATATACTCGCTGGTAGAGGCGAAGCTAACCGCCGAGCAAGGTGTAGATCGCTGATTCCGGAACGAAAACGAGGCCCCTCTTTTTTCCGGCAATCTTGGGGTTTATTTTTTTTTCTCATGGGATTAATTTAATGGCAGACTGATCGAGACGAGGTTTTTGTTGGGTCTGCGTGTGTGTGTGCGTGTGTTGGGCACCGTTGTGTGTGTGTTTTTTTTCCCCAAACCTAAAGAACTGCAGGGGGATTGTTGCTGAAATTCCCTCGGATAGTGCAACCTCGTCACGTGGTAGGTTCCTCCTTTTTCTTTGTTAGCGAGCTAGCTTCAGTAACAGGGTTTCACACACACACACACA